CCAGTCGCCCCCCGCATCGTGGTGGACCCCAAACCCACCGTCACGGACATCGGCTCCGACGTGACGCTGACGTGCGTGTGGTCGGGCAACCCGCCCCTGACCCTCACCTGGACCAAGAAGGAGTCCAACATGGTAGGGCCTGGCAAGCTGAGCCGCTGGGGGGGGGGTGGTCCAGGGGGCTCCCCCCCACCCCCTGTGACCCCTCCCTCCTGATACACCCCCCCCTGCCCACCCCACCACCGCCACCACCACCACCACTTGCACCCAGGTCCTGAGCAACAGCAACCAGCTGTACCTGAAGTCGGTGACGCAGGCGGACGCGGGGCAGTACGTCTGCAAAGCCATCGTGCCCCGCATCGGGGTGGGCGAGAGGGAGGTCACGCTCTTCGTCAACGGTGAGTGACCCCCCAAAAAAAAACCAGGGAACACCCTTCCCCCTCAAAAAAAAAACAAACACACCAGGGGCAAAACAAGGTCCCTGTTGGGGATGTTCACAGAGTTTCCCCCCTCTTTAAGGCCCCCCCATCATCTCGAGCGAGGCGGTGCAGTACGCCGTGCGCGGCGACCGCGGCAAGGTGGAGTGTTTCATCGGCAGCACCCCGCCCCCAGACCGCATCGTGAGTGCCGCCAGATGGGTCCTGGGGGGTTCCTGGGGGTGGTGCCGAGCTCCAGGTGCTCACCCGGCCCTCTCCCACCTCTCCTTTCCCACCGCGCCACCCCCCGCCAGGCGTGGGCGTGGAAGGAGAACATCCTGGAGGCGGGGACGCTGGAGAGGTACACGGTGGAGAGGACGAACACGGGCAGCGGGGTGCTGTCCACCCTCACCATCAACAACGTCATGGACGCCGACTTCCAGACCCGCTACAACTGCACGGCCTGGAACAGCTTCGGGCCGGGCACCGCCATCATCCAGCTGGAGGAGAAAGGTTGGGGATCACCATGGGACCACCTGGGGGATGCTGGAGGGCCCCGAGCTCTGGTGAGGCCTGGCCCCAGGTGACGCGTCCCCCCATCTCCCGCAGAGGTCCTGCCCGTGGGCATCATCGCCGGCGCCACCATCGGTGCCAGCATCCTCCTCGTCACCTTCCTCGTGGCCCTCACCTGCTTCCTCTACCGGCGCCGCAAAGGAAGTGAGTGGGGAGGGTTCTGGGGGGGGTCCCCGACCTCCCCACAGCCCACCAGGGGTTGCCACCCACGCCCCGTGTCCCCCAGGCCGCAAGGACGTGACCCTGCGCAAGTTGGACATCAAGGTGGAGACGGTGAACCGGGAGCCGCTGACGCTGCACGCGGACCGGGAGGAGGACACGGCCAGCGTGTCCACGGCCACCCGCGTCATGAAGGCCATCTACTCGGTGAGGGACGACCCCACGGGGCGCCAGAGGGGCGAGATCTGTCCCCTCCTGGCCGCGCCTTCCGAGCTGAAGGAGCCGACAAGGAGTCCTGGCGGGAGCCTGGAGCGGCGGGACAAAAGGGGGGAGGGACTGAAATTAAGGGAGAGGAGGGTTAGGTGGGATTTTAGGAGGAAGTGGGGGTTGGCCACAGGTTGCCCAGAGCAGCTGTGGCTGCCCCTGGATCCCTGGAAGCGCCCAAGGCCAGGCTGGACGGGGCATGGAGCCACCTGGGGCTGGTGGAAGGTGTCCCTGCCCGTGGCAGGGGGTGGAATGGGGTGACCCTTGAGGCCCTTCCGACCCAACCCATTCCATGACTCGGTGATTCTCTCCCCCGCCCCCCCGGCTCTCCCACAGTCGTTCAAGGACGACGTGGACTTGAAGCAGGACCTTCGCTGCGACACCATCGACACCCGCGAGGAGTACGAGCTCAAGGTGCGGGATGGGGGGGCATGTTGGGCTCGTGGGGGGGCAGAGGAGGGGCAGGTCCCACTCCTGTCCCAGGCTGGGGGCAGGAGAAGGGTCACTGGGTCTGCCAGAGCAGCCCAGGAGCGTTGGGATGATCCTCTGGGGCACAGGGTGGGGTTGTTGGGGTGCCCGTGCGGGGCCAGGGGTTGGGCGGGTGATCCTTGCGGGTCCCTCCCACCTCAACGCATTCCACGGTTGTGGGAGACGTAGCTCCCACTTTGGCCTTGCTTCCCAGGCATCCCATTCGCCCCAGGGCTCCCCACTCATTCCCAGCAAGTCCACCAATGGACTCAATCCCACCAAGCCCACCAGTGATCCGGTGATCCCCTCCCAGTCAGGATATCCCACGATTATCCCACGAGATGCCGCTCCCAGGCCCCTCCACTCAGTCCCACCGAGTCCACCCACGAACTCAGTCCCACCAAGCCCACCAATGGTCCAGGTGATCCCTTTCCAGTCAGGATATCCCACAAGATGCCGCTCCCAGGCATCCCGCTCGCCCCAGGCCTTCCCACTCAATCCCGCCAAGCCCCGCAACGTTCCGGTCGATCCCCACGGGCCCCCCCCCCCCCCCCCCCCCCCCCACAGCCACGAGCTCCCCTTGATGTTCACACCCCACCCACCCACCCACCACCTCTCCCTCTCCCCAGGACCCCACCAACGGCTACTACAACGTCCGCGCCCACGAGGACCGCCCGTCGTCGCGCTCCGTCCTCTACGCCGACTACCGCAACCCCGGCCCCTCCCGCTACGACACCCGCCCCCCGTCCCGCCTGTCCCACTCCAGCGGCTACGCCCAGCTCAGCACCTACGCCCGGGGCGGCCCCCCGGCCGACTACGGCCCCTCCGAGCCCCCCCCGGCGCCCGGCGCCGCTCCCGGCACGGCGGGCGGCGAGACGGCGAGCCAGCTGTCCTACGAGAACTACGGCGGCGGCGGCGGCGGGGCCGCCTTCCCGGTGGGGCCCGGCTACGCCACGTACCGCCTGGGCTACCCCGGCAACCCGCCCGGGCTGGAGAGGGGGCCCTACGACGCCTACGACCCCATGGGCAAGTTCGCCAGCGCCACGCGCTTCTCCTACACCTCCCAGCACTCGGACTACGGGCAGCGCTTCCAGCAGAGGATGCAGACGCACGTTTAGGGTGGGTGGAGGGGGGGGAAAAGGGTGTGGGGGGGGTCCTACAGGTACCTCAACGACTGTCCCCTGATATTCAGGGGCTCAATCCCGACCCCCTCCTCGTGCCCGGGGTTTTTATCCTCGCCCTCCCCACACACACACCCACCCACCCTTCCCCCGAGTGTCTTCGAGCTTCCACTCATTCCGTTCTTTCTTTTCGGTACCTTCCCGGAGGAGGGAGAGGGTTGGGGGGGGGAGGGATATGGGGATGAGTGGGGGAGGGGGTTCCTGGCCACTGTGCCCCCCCCTCTATCCCCACATCCCCCTTGTTTTCCAGCCCCCTCCCCCTTCCAAGAGCTCCGCAGGGCCGGATCCTTCTCCCCAGCACCCAGAGCTGCCCCCACCCCCCCATCCCGCCTGGAATCCCCGTGGGATGGAGGGGAGTGGGATGGGGGGGGGGGTGTCCATGTGTCCATCAATCCACAGGGACACGCAAGGCCCTGCCTCGTTCCCGCCAGGAAAAGCCCCATCCCAGCCATTCCCATTCCCTGTGCCTTGATTTTGGGGCGAGCCCTCCCTCGGGGCTGGGTCCACCCCCCCCTCTTCCCTGTCCCCACAGCCCCCTGGGAGGGGGGAAAAGGATTTGGGGGGATTTGGGGCTGCAGA